TGGACACAGAGAGAAGTCATGGTTGTCCCAGGAGAGGCTGAGTCCTCTGGGAGAGCGGTGGAGAATTCCTCTCCATGGGAAAGAGGATGCTGTCATGGTCAGCAGCCCCCAGGAACCTCACGGGGCACCAGCTACTCCCGGGACTTCTCGAAGAAATCTGCATGCGTTGGCTGGGATGGCCGAGGGGGTCTTCAAAAGGTTCCTGTGCGGGCCCCTCGGTCTCTAGTGCAGCGGTGAGGAAGTGAGGACACCTGGTGGCGGCCCTGGAGGTGGGGCCTGGCCAGAACTGAGTCAGGACCACAGTTGGGGGGTGGGGGCTCCTGAACGTCTCTCAGAGTGGGCTGGGCACCCAGGAGTACAGGGGCTCCCAGGGGAGCAGGCTGCTGTCGAAGAGTGGCTCTGAGCCCGTTTCCTCTCCTGCTTCTTCTTCTCTGTCCTATGTCCTCTGCAGCGAGCCCCAGGCACCAGTGTCGTCTGCCATACTGTGTTTTTTGTTTTGTTTTGTTTTTCATTTATGTTTTTGGTGCAGGGTCTCATTACGCAGCTCAGACTCGTACCAATCCTAGTTTTCAGCCTCCCCAGCACTGGGATTACAGGCATGCGCCACCACACCCAGACTTGGCAGCAGGCTCAGTGCGCCCCAGAAACCGGGCCAGCACAGCATGCGGGACTGAGACCAAACTCTGGTCCCTGCACTTGCCAAAGCAGGTTGCTGGCCCTTTCATCTGCCATATTGTGATGGGGTGCAGTCTAGGACATCCAGCCTCCAAACCTGTGAGCTGAACAAGCCTCTTTCCCTAATGAGCACTTGGCCTCAGGGATTTTGTTACAGCAACAGGAAACAGACCGGAGTACCCATCCCACTGAAGGGCTAGCGCCTGCCTGGCCGCCACTCACCCTGCTGCCAGAGTCTTCCCTCGGCCTTGCTCGGCCCTGGCTTTCCATGCCTCTGAGTTAGCAATGGAGCACACAGCACGTGGGAGGCTTTCCTACAGGAGAGCACGCAGACCTGATGATAGCAGGACACCAGGGCCACAGCCGGTGCAGACAGCACAGAGAGCCCGCCCTCAGGGTCCACCCAAACCAGGCCCTCTGAGGGGTCACCAGCACCTTGGGGTGCAGAGGAAAACACAGAACCGTATTTCCTGTTTCCATGTGGAACTGGGAGACACGGCTGGCTGCTGGCCTCATGGTCCTCATGGCTTCCGCTTCATGGAAACCTTCTGTGGCCTGCGTAAGTGGATGTTTCCATTGATTTTCCTTTTCATACTCAGAAAACACAAAGACAATAGGTGCCGAGAATAGTTCTGCTGGTGTTCTAATTAGCGCAAGCCACGCAAACCTGTGAACAGCAGGGCTGGCTTTTCTCCCTCCCAGGGGTCTGTGTTCCATCTTAGATGTAACTGAAGATCAGACTTGAACTACGAGCTCAAAACAAGGGGGAGAGGGGAGGAAACGCTGAGAGGAAGCTTGCCTTAGTCCCACCTCTCACACCGACCAGCCTGCACTAAATGGTATAAATCCACATAGCTCTCTGGCCTTTTCTGGACGTAGCTCAGATCAGTCTCCCAAGTCCTGAGAGTTAACGAAGTGCTTAAGAACTAAGTAACTACCTAGAAGATAAAGGCCCCCTTCGTTGTAATTTTTCAGTGAAGCTTCAACTCACAAAATACCCACGGCAAGCATTCCAGAAAATCACACTCTTCCTGATGACAAAGGCTGAAAGGACTCCTAAAGGTGCTTACTTAACTAGCGAAATACACAACGCCGGCACCTCAAAGGATCACTCAGCCTCCTGGCGGGGAAAGCTTGTTGGGAATAAACAGATAACACCACACAGACTGAGGGGGAGCCGTCACTCGTGCCTGAGTGTGCCTTACCTGAAGAACTGGCCCGCAGAGCCCAGACTCACGGGCTTTATTCCTACAGATGCCCCCCACACAGGGGGGTCCTGAGGCACCCAGAGAGACGGAGAAGGGCTGGTGGATGATGGCTCTGCTCCTTCCTGCGTGAAACAGATTTCCTACTCTTCCTCTTCAAGTGACCTGGATGGTGACATGGCCCTCAGAGCTGACACCACCCCAGGCTGCAGAGAAATTCTGGCGTGTCCTCTGTCTGCCATCTCTGGGGACAGGTAGTGTGCATGTGATTTAACTCCACCACCGCCCCTCTCGGATGACATTGGCGTATGCCCGGCCAGTGCAGATAAGAACCGTCAATTTCTTCCACAGTTTATGGTATGGAGTCTTGAATCCCGCCCCCTTTATACTGAGCTCTTTTCTTGTTTTCTGTTGTGAAACAGGGTGGCTCTGAGTCACACACTTGGCCAGCCTGGGCTCAAGCTTCCAGTCGTCCTGCTTCAGCCTCCCAGCGCACTAGGATGGCAGGCAGGTACCTCCATGCATGGCTCTGTTACCATTTTGATGGATTTGTTCTGGGGGTTCAGCTCTCCTTGTTCATCTTGGGAGTGTAACCACCCTGACCATTCTCATTGTTCTAATTTAACAAAGGCTCACAGGAGCTGCATAATGGACCCAAAGCCCTGGGGTGAGAGATCTGGATGTAGCCCCATGGGGTGATGCTCACGCCCTCCCAGCCACAGCGGTTCTCTGAGGCTACCTGGTCTCCAGAGGGGTCTGACACAAAGTTCAGCCAGCAGCATACAGCCAGTGTGGAGGGGACAGGAGACCCACAAGTGGCACATGGAGACATGACACAGAACACACCAGGGGAGAAGAGCCCATGACCAGCGCTGGCCAGGCAGTCTAGGTGTCCAGCCTTCCTGTGAAGGGAGCTTTGGTGATCAGACTTGGGGTCAAAGTAGACAAGAGTTGTCCTCTCACCTCGGAGGTGACAGAATGCAGCCTGCAGCCCATGTGGAGGTCGGGGGGCTGCTTTCCACCAGGGTCTGAGTGGCCATGCTATTCTCTCTATAGAGGGTGGGAAGACGCAGGGGAATGAGGTCCCCAGCCCTGCTGAGCACAGATCAGAGTGTGTCACACGCCAAGGCAGGTGTGCATGGAGACCCTGCCTCACGGGGTCTGAGCGCAGCTCTCTGGGCCGCGCACTCTGTGTGGGGCTCGGCTTCCCCAGCCCTGAAAGGGAGTAACAGCCAAGAGGCTGAGCGTCTGTGGGCTTCTCGGCCGTTCCTGCCACTTCTCCCGAGACGCGCTTGCCCACCCCAGCTGCCCCTGCGTCGACTGGGCCTTTCCCCCAAAAGAGTGAGAGCCATCATATTGTGGCGACCCAACACAGCCGTGTTGACAGCTGCACAGCTCTGCTGGCTAAACCTCGGGAGTGGCGCGCGTGTCCGTCAGCGGAGGAATGGATAAAGAAAGCGTGGCGTGCGCACACAGTGCAGCTCTACTCTGCCCTAAAGAAGGATAAACCTGGGTCATTGACAGGACACTGGATGTACCTTGAGACCACGTTACAAATCAGACACACATGGTTATACTTTGCATGCTGTCCTTTACGTAAGAAACCTAAAATATAGAGAGTCAAACAAAAGGTAAAGAACAGGAGCAGGGAGGCCAAGGGAAACACTCACCCTCTGCATACTGCACGTGCAGAAGACAAAGTTCAAGATAAAAAATAAAGACACATCAAAATATTAACAGTAACTAATAATAAATTGAACAGTAGTAACCGCGCACTGTAATAAAAACTGTGTGGAAGCAATCCTGCTCTCTCAAAATATCTCGCTGGCCTGCAGCACTCTTATTTCTCTGTTGTTTGCAGTGCTGAGGACAGACCCCCCGCACTGAGCTCCGACTCCAGGCTTGGTCATCTGGAGACCAACTGTCCCCACGTGGCTGAGTCGCCGCCGGGGCTCTAGCTTGCTGTCCTCTGCCTCAGCCTCCCCCCCCCACCGTGCTGTGATTACAAGTGCGTATGGCCACTGCTGGCTGTGTAGCATGTTGTTGACTGTGGGTGACCTGCCGGTGACTGGTGCCCCCTCCTGAGCCAGAAACCCCGAGGTACTTCTCCCACCACAACATCCACTGAGACCACAGCCAAGGGATCAGATGTTACCTTCAGGAGAAGTGCAGTATTCTTAACTCTGTCATTTAATGTTTCTACTGTCAGTTACTAGTGAAATAACATAATCAGTCACTACTATTATTCCTGGAACTGATAAGAGAATCTGCTTCAAAATTATTTCCAGATTATCTTTTATGTTAGTTGTAGGACATGATTTTTAAGAACTCTGCAACACTTTCTAGAGATAATAACAGTAAACAAAAATTCAATTTCGGCTCCTCCAGGGCCTGAGGACCCACACGGTGCTGGGGTCATGTGGCCACCACCTGCCCTGAAAGAGGTTGGGGAATCTGAGTCCTGCAGGCTGAATGGTGGAAGGGGCCACAGGAGTGAGTGGGTGGTCAGCTCAGCCCAGCGTGGGGGGACGGGCATCCCAGCTCTGTGGCAGGAGCTGGCCCAAGTCATCTGACTGCCCGCTGCACTCACTGCTGGCCCTCACGGAGTGCAGGTCAGAGCTCCGGGATGGCAGAAGTCCACAGTGACCGAGTGGGTATCCCCCAGCCTGAGAAGGAAGCATCACCAGCCAGCCAGCACAGAGGACTAGAGTTGGGACATCTTATGATGCCAGATTAGGCATCAAATCCAAAAGAGTTCTCAAATATAAGAATGCTATTTCCTAAACTGGGTGTGGTAACGCACACCTATAATCCCTGTACTCCAGAATCTGAAGCAGGAGGATCACTGTAAGAGGCCAGTGTGGGCTCTAGAAGTGAGTTCAAGGCCAGCCTGAACCACATGGGGAGACCCAGGTGGTCTGTCTCAGAAGACAATGCTGTTTCTCATAAACTGCAGTCACCTGTCAGGTATGTTAAGGTTAGGCTTTGGCCTCCATTGTTTCTGACACTAATCAGGATTCTGAAATGATAAAAGAAACTTCACCTTTACCCACATCTATCCACTCAAGGGGAGCCGCCCAGAAAACATAACCCACGAAGCGTGCTCTGGGTCCCCAGTACCTCTTCCAAGGTGGGGGCTGAGATCCCGTAGCCCACAAGATGCAGGGGTTGCAGATTCTGGTCCAGGGCCTGGAAGAGCCCCTTGAAGCAGGCCTCGTCTGTGCCCTGCGGGATGGTGTAGGTCAGCTGGCGCCCACTGCTGCCTCTGAAGACGGCTTGCGGGATGTAGGCATGGATCAGGGCTGTAAGGCATGCTGTGTCCTTGGGACTGTGGGCTCCCCGCACGGAAGGCTGTCAGAAGAAAGCCAAGTGAGGACCAGGAAGGGGTCGAGGCAAGCCCACACCAACGAATTCCCATATACTCGTGAGCAAAGTGCAGCAGCGTTCCACTGCAGCACTTGGGCACGGTGCTGCTCCGCAGCAGCAAGCATTCGGTGACGCCTTGCCTATTTTCCCCTCTTCCTCCTTCTCTTTGTGCATGTCTACAGTGCCAGGTACTGAGGCCAGGACTGTTACACTGAGCCACATCCCCAGCTCCTTTGTATCCTGAGTTAGGGCCTCCCCAAGTTTCCCAGGCTTGGCTCAAACTTGGGATGCTCCTGCCTCGCCCTCCCAGCATGCTGGGGTAACAGGTGAAGGACACCAACACCAGTATCTTCTTTTTTAAAGTAAAACTTCACAGTGCTAACCCTGGCCAGGCCAGACCCCACAGCCTTCTTAGTTATGAGCATACAGAAGCCAGTTTCTGGGGTTCTATGATCCTAAGCTGCCTTTGCACCCTGGGAGAAACACTCACCAAGTCAGGTCTGAGCCCTCAGGCTGCAGGAAACAGGGTTGACTATCTAAAAAAGAGATGAGAACTCCCATCCAGAGAGGAAAGGAGCCCTCTCAGGTCTGCAGGATGCTTGTATTCACCCTGGAATTCTCTGTTTAGAGAAGAAACAAGCTGGAACTATGGCAGGAGGTTAATATCGTTTAGATTGAAAATGTCCCCAAATGCTTCTGTGTTCAGAAGTGGTGCTTTGGAAGGTGATAAGATCCAGGGCCATAATTGTGGGATCCATCCAGTGCTAGTTTAGTGCTAACCCTGCTGGTAGGACACAGGGCTGGTTGGAGGCACTGAGTCATGAAATGTGGCCTGGAAGGGCACACCTTGTCCCCAGCCCCCACCTCTCTGTGGCTCTCTGGCTCTTCCTTGTTCTCTGGTCCCCAGATGCCATGAACTAAGCAGCTTTTCTTCACCGCAGACTTCTGCCATGATGTTCCTGCCTTGGCCCCGCCAACCGTGCACTGTACCCTGGGAGCCGTGAGCCAGCGTAATCTTCTCTTCTTTGAAGTTGTGTGTGGCAGGTACCTCAGTCTCAGCCACAAGACAGTGGCCAACACAGAGCCCCAAGGCAGATGCTTTGAGGGTCACCAAGGACCAAAGCCACAACTCATTCAGAGCTGGGAGGTGCCTCAAGCCCCCTGATCCAACCCCATGGGTGCTGTCGCCTGTTCCTGTGGACACCAGGCAATGACAACTCCACGTGTGACATAGGTGCAGCCTCCCAGGTGGTAGCCACCACTGCCCAAGCCCCTCACTACTTCCCTTCCACCTTGCAAAAGGACTGCAGCCTCCTGAGTTGAACACTATCCTCGGGCTCGATGGTCCTAGAATACCAGGGCCTTCGTACTTCCTGGGAGCTGCACTCACGATTCATTCTGACCCTGCATACATTTCCTCCTAGAGTCAAAATGCACCCTGGGACCCAAGGTCCCCGACCTCGGCCCTGGGGTGGAAATGTTTTGACACCAGGGTCACTGTGCAGGAGAGGCCTCCATTCATCTATGGAAAGGAGCAAAGGGCGCTTCCCCCATGGTGAAACCGCAGGGCCTGCTCTGTACCTGCTTTGCCAGCGTCAGGCTGAGCTCCTGGCCATAGGTCTCCTTCAGGCAGAAGGGAGGCCCGCAGCACCGGAGCCGTCCCTGCTGCAGGATGGCCACGCGGTCGCTGAGCAGCTCTGCCTCATCCAGGTGGTGGGTGGTGAGGATAATGGTGCGACCTGGAGGCAGGCACAGGGAGCATCAGAACCAACCCTGTCCTCCCTGGGGTGACTGAAAGACCACCACCAATTTTTGGTGCACCTGCTAGTTGGTTTTGGGAGACAGGGTCCTTCTCTGAAGCCCAGGATGGCCGCCCATTCACCATCTTCCTGCCTAAGCCCCCTAAGTGCTGGATCACAGTCCTAGGCTACCAATTTTGCCATCAATTTTTAAGAAGGAAAACCTGAAAGAGACACTGCAGAAAGACTTAGCCAAGGCAACTCTGCAAGTGGAAGGCCTTGGGACAAGGGCTGCCCCATTCCCCCAAAGCTCCTGACTGCTATTTTCGTGGCTCCTTCCTTTTTGAACTAGGGGCATCTACCAGGTCCAGGGGTAAAACTGAGATGCAAAAGGCAAAGGCCCCGTGTCCAGCAAGTTTGCTGTCTAGATGCAGAGTGAAGGGTCAGAGGACACGTCAGAGGGCGGGGCTGGACGTGCCTGCCTTCTCCAGCCAGGTCACTGCCGTCTGTCCTGCACTTACACAGAGGGCGACGTTCTGCAGAAGTAGCCCCCTGAGAGAAAGCCCAAGCCCCATGCTAGCAGCGAGGAATCTTGACAGGATCTCTGGCTGGGGGTGCAGGACGGTGCAGGGGTCAAGGGAGACAAAAACGACGAAGAGGTGATGTTCATTTGAGCCAGTTCCCCAAGTGGAATGTGGTTACATGTTACGAACACCAACTGGCAAAAACTAAAAAATCACTTGGAGCAAAACAAAACACCAAGTAATATTTGGAGAGAAATGGAATTAAAAGAAATCTGACTACTATCATTTTAATGCAACACAAATATTATTAACCCTTCTGCACAGGCAGGGTTTAATACACACATTCAAATAGTGAGTAAGACTTTTAAAAATAAACGCACGATGTCAGAAATGGCCACAGTGGACATGCACGGCCCTTGGGATTGGGAAGTGGAGACCACACGGGCTCATGTGTCATATTGGTAGAACCAGAACACTCCCTCCCTGGAGAAGCAACAGCAGCCTCCGATCTCCAGGGTCTGCAGGGGGATGGGGAGAGAACAGGAGACTTGCACCCAGGGCCTTCCTGGGAGGACGGAGGACCCCAAGTCCACAGCCATGGCCACTTTGTGCAAAGAGCACATTACTTTATCCATGTCCCTGTGGATTCCAGCATCTTGTCAAGTTTTATGACCACTCCTTAGGCAGCAAAAGCCTCCAAATAAACCTGCAGCTGGCCCTGACAGCAAAACCAAATGTGCACCAGGAGTATTCTGAACATGGTTTTAACTCTACTCAGTGGCATATTTTCAACCTCAGAGAAGGATCAAAGCACAAGGATTCTAATGCACTGCTTGCCAGTCTGCCCAGGTAGAAAGCACGAAGCTCAGACCTGCGAGCAGAAGGGACCGGCTCCTAGCGAGGGATGTGTTTCCCTTTCATTCTTGGACACTGAGAAGACGTGCTCAGTGCCTGCAAGGGATCAGAGCGGGTCAGGCCCCTTCATCAGAGCCGCCATGTAGCCGAGAGGATGAGCTTCCACGAGGTGAAGAAGCCTGAAAATGAAAGCCCACTTGAGTCTGGACTCCGA